TTTAAAAAAAAAAGTCACTAACAACAAAATTACAATGAATACATGAATTCATTTCAGAGTCAAAACTTTACCTGGTGTTTTGATGTTCTCCTGTGTTAAACAGTCTAGCAGTAACCTTGTAAAAATCTGCCTCTTCAAAAATACTTCATGAGTACTGAAAAAGAGACATACAAGAGGACAAGTTTTAGTCTAAGACAGCCAAGAGTCTTGATTTAAAGATTACATTTCAACATGCTAAAGGCCCACCAGAGCTAAATTAAAAAAAAGGGCTACTATGAAACTTCACTTCTAAGCAATAAGAGCACCTCTAAAAGTTTAGTAAGAAGTTTACTGGGTTTTGTGCAGACTCGGTGGAAAAAAAAAACAAACAAACAAAACACATGTTAGTGTTTAAACACCTGCACCAAAAGCAGTCAATTAGTTATCTGTTGTGCATCATCATAGTAACTATAGGTAACCCTGAACTAAGGGTCATACAGGAGTTAGTTCAAATCAACAGTTAATACATGTAAGACACTGCATGCTTCAGTTAAATAGTTTAGAATTCATATTACCTTGTTTCAGGAAAAGAGAAAAAGATTAAGATTTAAAATATGTTAGAATAGCTGTTGAGAGATCCCAGAGTATTCATACAAAGCTATATGCAGGTCTTACATAGCTCAAAAGAGTCCAGACGACAGGCCTAGAAGCTTCTACTTTTAGTACTGTATTTTCTTACTACAACACACCATTTCTGTCAAAAACCCAGCTGCTGTAATATATGGTAACAGCAGTTTCAATATAATGCAATCCAGTTTTTGCCATTTAAGCCTCAACCAGGCAAAAGCCAAAGTAAAGTCTGCACGAGCCACAGGGAACAGAACTATGAATAGGCTTGGCTCTCTAGCTGCTGTTGCTACCCGGTTACTTATTACCAGGGATCCTGCTTTTCTCGCAAAAAAACCCCAAAAGCCCAAATTCTCTGATAAAAAAAAATATTCCAAACTCCATGTTTTTCTGCAGTTAAAATGAAGTATGTGCGTGCATCAGTTAAACACAATGTTTTATTGATACATTTACTATTTTCAAGCAATTTGGAAGCCTACCCATGCCTCAATCATTATATTAAAATAAACTCTAATACCTATATATTCTGATGTTTGACTGTTGGGTTTTTTGTCATGGAAAATTAGAGCTCCCCCTCCGCTGCCCCCAGCTCACCAGGACACAAGTCCAGCTGCAACTGTCCCCCCCGCTGCTTTGCAGTGCTGAGCAGCCCCAATATGTCCTGCTCCTGCAATGCCACTCACTCCTGACCCACAGTCCCTCCCCCCTGTTCAGCTGGTGCCCCTCACTCCTGACACACTGCCCCCACCCGAGGCCCTAGTCCCCCAGTGTGTAGAAAAGAGGGTGGGTATGTGAAGGGGGGTGTAGGCACAGATGCATGGGAGGCATATGCTCCCTCCACCCCCCCAATTTCTGTGCCCACAGTAGGGCACAGGGCTGCAGCTTGGCTGGACCAGCTCCAAGCAGAAGCTGTCTACGTGGCCCAGTGGTCAGGACCTGGAGTGGAGTGCTGCCACGGTGAGGTGCCTTCTGTCCACCCAGCAGCAGCAGGGGCACAACTCCAAGCTGCTGCCACCCCTGCTGCTGATGCCTCACCTTGGCAGCCATGGCCATGCAGCACTCCCTCCCATACCAGGTCCTGCCCTCTCAGCCATGGAGGTGGTCCTGCCTGGAGCTGGTCCAGCCACACTGCAGCCCGCACCCCCAACCCTGGCTGCAACACATTTGTGCTACAATTACAAAGTCAAGCTTGACCCTCATGCTGAGAAGAGTAGCATTTTCTGGCCATCACTGATGTACCACAACTGGTTACAAACCTAACTGATGCAAACTAGAATTTGTATACTCTTACAATTTCTAGCCTCACAATAGGGACTGACCACTGCCTCCAGTGTTTTGCCGCTGGAACGAAAGACCAGTCTTTAAGGTTAATGGAAGTCAGAAAGTTTCCAGAACCTTTTCCCCCTCTTAGTGCATTTTTATCAGAACTGCACAACCTTGATGACTTGGTAAACGAATAAGTGTCTTGTAATCCACCATCCAGGAAGCAGCCCTGTTGCATTCTCATTCCTAACCCAGATCTTGCAGACACCCTCATCTGTAAATAACCCATAGGAAGGTAGACAACAGTACCAACACTGGAAGTATCCGGCTAACACTGATTAATAAGCTTTATGCTACAAGCAATTTTACACTGTGGATACATGAAAGCCAAAGCATAAATTGTCTTCCTTCTTGCAGGCAGCGCACTGAAAACCCCCACTTAAAGTGCAGCTGCAATCACAAGAAGAAAGATGTTTGGTTACCTAAGAAACAGGATAATGAATGTAAAAAAAAATATATATATTAAAATGCCTTTACATAAAAGTTAATAGCATGTTTCAACTGGAATACTATTTATTCATTGTACTGGTCACTTCATCTTAAAATACAATACTGCAGAATTAAGATAAGGTTCAGACAAGGGCAACGAGTGATCAAAGGCACAGTAAAAACACTCAGATGAAACAGTCCCTCCATTTCAGAAAGAAACTACTAGGATGTGACACACCTCATAAGAATATGTAAAAAAATAATGAATAGTATAGAAAAAGCAAATAATCTCTATTCCCTAACAAGAAGCTGCTGACATTAACTGAAATTAGGAAAATAAAATTAAATACTTTCCTTCTTGGCCCATAAAAAAAAAAAAAAAAATATGGGAAACTGAACTGTGAACCTCACTGCCATGTGAAGCTTGAGACCAAAGATTTAGTATTCAAAGGAAAATTATACAGTTAGTGGGATAAAAATTATCCAGAATTCTAATGAAGTTGTTTGAGTGACAGATCTTGTGTCTTAGGGCCTAAACTAAAAACTAAGTCATCTGGGAATGACAAAGTTCAAACCATTCTCTGAAGTACCTGACAATGGCCATCAATAGACAGGACCCTGGACTAGACGGATCCTGGATACATGTTTCGGTACATTACTTCTCTGAATTGCATAAGATCTTGTATGGCAAGATTTCTTAGATCTTGTTGGTTTGAGCACAGGACAAAAGTCATTACTAAATTCCCCCATGATAACAGATGAAGACCAGTGCTCATATTGGCATTAGATCTTCTCTAAAACAGGGAAAACATTCTAAACACTCTAAAACAGATACACTAGGAAGACATTTTAAAAGTACAACCAGCTATTCCACACCAACTCTGTGTAGACACTATTATGGAATACAGGAAGATAGTGGAGAACCAGAACATTTTTCTTCCTGGTTATGTCTCATGAAAAGGTTACAGCCCTGTTCTTTATAGCCAAAGCACCCTCACATCAAGGCTAAACCTCTTAACGGGACTCTACATTTTAAGTGTACTCAAAGATCAAACTAGTGCAGAAGGCAGCTAACCATTCATCAAGGAGTTTTCCTTGTCATCAGCACAGGATACCAGGGCTCCAAAATC